TTTTTCCGCCTGTTTTTTAAAATTTTCGATTAAATATTCCATCTCTCGTCGGTTTTCACTAAACTCCAAAAAAGGTCCTAGTTTTGTAGAAATGATTGTGGTTTTTTAAAGATCCTTTGAATAAAAGTCCTCTTCAGAAGTCTGCTAACGTCTTGACACTAGCCTGTCACAAGCTGAAATGAGTGTGTGTGGTGTCTGCGGAGCTATCTAAGCTTCTATGACGTCATAGCTTTGATGACGCAACAAAGGCATATATCTGACGTTCACGCATGCGCTGACGCAGCGACCCCCACCCCCCCCTCCCCGCCCGCCCCCCCGCCCGCCCGCGCGTAGCAGGCACTCAGCAGTCAGACAGCAGAGGGCGCCAAGGCTGCAGTAAATATGTCTGCAAAAACAAAGTCTGTGTCACAGAAAAGGAAAGAAAGACAGGAGAAAGGACAGGCAAAAGAGAGGGCATCAGTTTTTCTCAAAGAAAGGTGGGTTTAGTTAGTGAGTGGTTAAATTCAACCTGTTTGCTAGCTTTGATATCCACAATGAGAGGAACTATGTTTCATCTAATTATGGTAAATGGGTTGTTGTCCTTGTCCCTACCAGAATCAGCAGTTGATGATATGTCAGCAGGTGTCCCCTCACAACCACATTTACAGTCTATGCTCACAACCCAATGAGCCTCAAGAAGTTGAGCAATGTAGCATGTTAGCTAGCAGCCTCATTTAAGGGGTCTGTGGGACGAGGCTGAAGTTAGCTTCCGATTCCTGCTTCCGATTCGGGAAACGGCTAAAGGGCGATTACACCCAATTTTTCTCTACTCTGACCATCTTTAATCTGCTCTAGCTCAAAGACTACAACAGCCACACTGTTCAAACCTGTGCTGGATTATTCTATAATAATAGCAGATTCCATCCAACCTTGTTTGGGATTTGTGAAACCTTTCCCTGATTTGTGAAACTTCAACAAAGCCAGATTTATGCGTTTTTTCAGCATCTGGCCAACGATGGAACAGCTGTAGCACAAAAGCTACAACAGCCACACTGTTCAAACCTGTTCTAGATTATTCTAAGGTATCCATAGTCTAAAGTAACTTAACATAAAAATTTCAAATGTGACATTCATATTTTTGTGTAGGACAAAGCAGCTGAAGTAATAGAAGCACGACGGGAAAGGAATGAATAACTTGTCTACTTCATTGTTGAAGAAAAAGGTGCTGAGGAAAGCCTTGAGGTACGGCTTAGGATTGTTTTTACGGCCATTAGTTGTAACTGTTATTTTATTAAAGTGTTTTGAAGTCTTTCACTGAATGCTTGAAGATGTCTCTTTTTGAGACACCTACACATAAATGCACCTGCACATGCAAACACACACACACACACACACACACACACACACACACACACACACACACACACACACACACACACACACACACACACACAGAACATAGGGAATTTCAATTGAAAGCAAAAATGATGTGATATTAATTATAGCAAATTAATTCATGCTTTGGGCAGTATACAATAAGTGTTCACAAGAAAATCAATGTGAAGAAACCACAGTAAAATTATTGCTTTATAAAAAAGGAAAGATGCTTAAAAAGTTACAGCTTCTCTCGGTTTCCAACAGGCCATTTTATCAGGTGATGAGATGCCACATTTCCATTTCAAAGAGAAGTGGGTTCCAATCATCTTTGATGGTGACCAACAACTTGACCGGATCATGACATACCTGTCACACCTGCTAGACAACTTCACAAACAAATCAGTTGAAGTCCTGAGCATGGTCTCTTCTGACCGGATCAAGTACATACTGACTGTAATGCTGTCAGAGGTAAGTTACGAACACCAATTTGTAATTAAACAAAAATGTCATTTTCCACAATATTTTAATATTTATGTAATTTATTTGTACATACACAAACATAACCAGGTTACTATTTTGGTGCATTAATACAAACTAATCATGAGTAAGGTAGCTTTGAGGTAGATTGTGAGCACAGTTTGAGAGGAGTACATGCTATCCTGGGATTATTGATTTGCTTTATGTCATCCTCTTTTATTTTAGACTATCTTTCATCCCTTTTACTAATGAATAAAGACCACTATAGTGGCAAGAAATATTGTAGATTCAAGAAATATTTTAAGAAGGTCCAGTTGTGATCACACAGATGCTAGATCAGGGTAGGAATAGGCAAGGTGATCCAGAGTCTGAAATTAGAAAAAATGTCAGTGGGAAATTAGTGAATACATGTTATTATAAAGCACGATAAATCTTGAAAAAACTTTTTCTAATGAACCGTTTTATGTAACACAGGCATCAGCAAAAGCACTCGAAAAGGTCCAAGGGCTAGCCAGGGCTGAGGCAGTGGAAAAGATTGAGCATGGTGAGATGGATGAGAGGTAAGACAATCTGAGTCAATGAAAGACATCTGCAAGAAAAAGATTTTTGTATGTCTTTGGGAATGGAGAAATATATAATACCTGAATTTTTTTATTTTTTTATTTTTTGCAGCGAAAAAGCGGAACTTCTCATGAAACTCAGGACAGAAATGGAGAGATGTTCAATTCTCTGAAGTTCTCTGGAATGTGGGAGAATAAAAAAGTTTGAGGCTGAATATTTCTGCTTGTTTTTAATTAAGAAACGCAAACATCAAAGTATTTTTTGCATAGTTGTGGCTTTTCTGCAACTGTGCTACACCGAAAAAATACAATCTGTGTTCAAGTTTCACAAATCAGGGAATGATTTCACAAATCCCACGCTGTGTTTTATTTGATCTGCTATTATAGTAGAATAATCTAGAACAGGTTTGAACAGTGTGGCCATTGTAGTTTTTGAGCTACAGCTGTTCCATCGTTGGCCAGATGCTAAAAAAACGCATAAATCTGGTTTTGTTGAAGTTTCACAAATCAGGAAAAGGTTTCACAAATCCCAAACAAGGTTGTATGTAATCCGCTATTATTATAGAATAATCTAGAACAGGTTTGAACAGTGTGGCCATTGTAGTTTTTGAGCTACAGCTGTTCCATCGTTGGCCAGATACTGAAAAAATGAATAAATCTGGCTTTGTTGAAGTTTCACAAATCCCAAACAAGGTTGTATGCAATATGCTATTATAGTAGAATAATCTAGAACAGGTTTGAATGTTTGAACAGTGTGGCTGTTGTAGTTTTTGAGCTAGAGCAGATTAAAGATGGTCAGAGCAGAGAAAAATTGGGTGTAGTGGCCCTTTAGCCGTTTCCCGAATCGGAAGCTAACTTCAGCCTCTCTTCTCTATCAGTACTATTACAAATGAATATAAAAGAGCTATTTTGGGTGATAAACACATAATGATAATTATATATATCAATCAGTAAAAATGTATAGATTGTTTTTGATGCTGGGCAGGTTGAAGCATTGTTATTTAGTCCGTCACTAAGTATGTCACTCAGGAGCATTATTAATTATATCACTGTAAATAATAAATCTTGCTGTGTACAATCAAGGCTGAAAATATTTTAAGCTGTTTTTTTTGTTGTTGTTGAGAAAAATGGGTTTCTAGAGACTTATACACGTATTCATGCAAGTTGTCCAATTTTAACATTTTATGTAACCCTAACTGACTCCGGTTTGAACTGTGTGCTTATTCATTTTGTGTCTATGATGAAGCCGTGGAGACTTAATAAAGAAGTCACCTTGTGAGCAGTGAATCCTCAATTTTTATCAGTCATACAGAAATACTTGATTTCTAGAGGAAAGACAGTTGAAAATGTAGTTATGTAAAGCTTTGACACAACATGGAAATTTAATTAGATATCCAAATTTGAATTTTATCATCAAATAAAATTTTAGAATAAATAAACACATTTTAAGGGAGTAATGGGGAAAGGAGATTAACACCTTTCAGCATGTGCATTTCCTGCTTTTTCCAGCAGTGATATTGCTAATTCTGTTGAAGGAAATTCACTGTTTAATGAGAGACAGCTGGTGAAAATGATATGTAAATAAGTAAGAATGCATGTAAGTAAGCAAAACTGAAACACTAATATAAAGTATATATATTATATTTTTTCTCCCTTCGAATCTGGGAGGGTGGAACCCCAGCTCCAGCTATAGACGAGCCCCCAGGGAGCCCAACTTGATATTTTTTCATGGGGCCCAAAATCTCTGGCAGCCCCCCTGGCTACAGCAATCACTTTGTAAAATTTATTTCATACTTTTTTTTTTAGAAGCGATGTACAAAATCCAAGTAATAAAAATGTAGAAAAGCATTTTAGATGAACAAGTCAGCTGATAGTAGTGAGGAAAGACTTCTGTCTCCTGCTGGACATCTGTAGCCTGCACAAGCCAAGCCATCCTGTAAATATAGCCTGTAGAGCAAAATAATTTTAGCCTATTTCTGTTTATTTATGCAGAATCTCTAAACCTCTGAACCATCATCATGCTGGGAGACAAGCTACAGACATCCATGAACTCTGACAAGAAGAAAAAGAATATAGTGACTTCTGCTCCTGCTCTTAAGCATAAAGGTAACATATACTATTCATATAGTGATGAATAGCAAGTCAAAAGTGACCATTCTTTAGACATTTGTACTTACTCAACTGCTTCATGTCCAAAGGCATTTGCAAAATGAACATGAAACCGCCACTAGGTTGTGGAGGTTGAACTAACTGTTGTGCAAAGTTTAATTCTGTTGTGAGAAATGCACCAAAGCAACTGAGAAAAACTGTATTACTCAAGTGTTGTTTGTGTGCATGTTGTTCAGTAGCAAATGCTATAATTAATATAATCAGATTTTGTTTTCATAAACCCTACATACTGTGCGTGATGCACATTTGGGGAGCGCAGGCGCTGGTTTAGCGTGAGATATTGAAGGTCTGGCATGAGAGCGTGTGAAGAGGGTCAAATGTGTGTGTCTCACGCTGCGTGAGAGTTGGCAGCCCTGCATTTATGTTACGACAACCCCCGCAGCTGGCTGAGAATGAAATATGTTTCAGCATAACCTTCCTCACAACTTTATTGGGACATTAGACAGCTTTGGCATTTTTTCACTGTAGAATTCTTACTTTAAACTTACACATTGCACCTTTAAGTCCCAGAAAGGCAGATTTATGGCAAAAACTTAAATCCACATAATAATGAGATGTTTAAAAACACACAAAAAAAAAGCTATGAGATCAGGATGTATCAATGTCATTGTAATAATTTACCACAAATCTTTTTTTTTTAAACCAAATACCCTCCTAATAAATCAAACTGAGCACTTTTCTCAGAGGAGTGCTGTGTTTTGTTTGCACCCCTGACAACCTGGGTTGGGGTTATATTCTTGGGATAGGAGCTTATCTTGATCAGTGAAGGATTTCATGTGAACAGGTGATTTGAGCTCAGGACACCTGCAGCCAGCTTGGATCATCTGATCTGTGTGAGAGAAACAGAAAAAAAAGTGATTTCTCATGTAATGCAGTTGACAAAAATGTATCATTATTATTATTATTATTATTTTTTTATTATTATTATTATTATTATTACTACTACTACTACTATTATTATAAATAATTAACATCTTTTTTACCACATTTTAACCATCATAAAACTGATATATGCTGCATTGCACGCCTGAATGTTGTTAAAATTTGATATTATTTGGCTTATGCCAAGAAAATCTGTCTGTTTACCCAATTTGTTGTTTGCTGTAAAACTTGTAATTTAGAGGATACAAAAAAAAATGTTACCACAATCACAGTCATTGATGATACAAAAAAATCCCCAAAAGTTGCATTTTTTAATGTTTAATGACAAAAATAGAGAATGAATGACAATTTAAAGAGAGCTACGATTCGTGCAATCAGTAATTTTTTGAGCATCAAGACATTTTCAGGATTATTTCCTTTTATGAAACAATTAAACTTTTCGTTGAACAATTGAAATGCTGCGATCAAAAAAATCAAGTCTAGAAGACAATCAGAGGCGTGGACATACTGAGCTTCTTCCTTAGTGATGACTTTTCCTGAGAGGAGTCGCTCAGCTACCGCAGACACTACTGGATCATAATTGAGGCCCACTGCCGCTATGACCTCATCGTCCCTGCATGAAAACAAAAGTATTTTTAATTTAAGAGCTATGATGTTGCTCCTTTCAGCAGTAAATGTTAATGTCAACTTACTTGATGTACAAAGCTAGGAACTTCCTCTCCTCAAACTGAAATTGTCCTTTCATCACAATCTCAGTGTATCCCTCCCCGTAACCTGGGAAGAGCCAGAGCGGAGACTCAGAGATCTATCTCAACGTAATAGGAATACCAGCTTAAATGAAAATAAACACGAATGCAAAAAATAAGGCTGATATAAATGTATCTGGAATAAATTTAAATGTGCTTGCCTGCATATCTGATGGTTTTATTCAGAAGGACAGTCCAGTAGAAAGGAATAGAGGTCAGCTCAGTTGCTTTGTTTAGCATATTCAGAGCAGCTATCTTCCCTGCAGCAACAAGACGTGATAAATGTCTAAAATTAAAAGTTTGTTCATGAAAAAAATAAATGGATCCAAAGATCCTTTCCTAGTTTGGTAAAATTACCCTGAGCTTGCGCCATCTGCCAGTGCCCAATGTTGACTAGCTGGTTTTTGGCTATCGTCAGAGGAAAGAAGGCCATGTCGCCGGCGCAAAACACATCAGGAACATTTGTCCTCATGCACTGGAGCAGGGGAACATAGACAGGCTCATTAACTTTGTTCAGTGACTAAAACATTTCCTGTTACAGATTATTGTTAAAACTCTGTATTCATTCATTTTTGCACAAGTTACTAAGTTCTTTACAAACTTAAAGAGACAGGTGGAATGCTGACCTTGTCAACTATAACAAAGTTCTTTGAGTTTGTCTGTATTTTAGTGCCTTTCAGGTATTCTGTGTTTGGGATGCTGCCTGTTGGAGGAAAGGAAAGCAATATTAAAATCTCTCTCTCTCTCTCTCCCTCTCTCTCTCTCTCTCTCTCTCTCTCTCTCTCTCTCTCTCTCTCTCTTTCTTCTGGAAGGTCCCGAATGTCACCAAATTATTAAATATGTTCCATGCTTTCAAAAAATTGTTCAAAAATGTTTTCAGTTTATGGAACAATATATTCTTCAGCTAGCCTAGAATCTAGACCGGCATTTGCTGAAGCAGAATAATTTTGCTCTGCATGATGGTCTAGCAAAGCTCCGCTGGATCCTCCACAGCCCTGGCCAGTATCGTGGCTGGCCAATCACAGTGCATTATTTAGAAATACTGTTTATTTTTGTCTTCTTTCTTGTTTCTTCCACGATGTAAGGCAGACTGCCCCGGTTACTGATATTCGTAGCGGTCCAATCACAGTGCTCTATTAGTCAGGTAGGCGGGATGTTAGTGCGACTGAGCAAAACTAAGATGGTGATCTAATCATAGCCTTCTGTTGGTGAGCGGGGTGTTACTGAAAAAACAAAGATGGCGACAGCTTTTTAGTTTGTTTGCTTGCTTTGGCATCAACTTTGGACTATTTTACTTGAGCTTTTCTTTGAGTCAATACCAAAAGAGGTTCTTAAGTTAAGTTAGAAAAATTATATATTTGCATCTTCTTTGAGGGAGTATGGCGGACCACCATGACTGACATCCATAACGGTGAGTATGTCACTTTGTTTGTTATCCAATAGCACAGTTTGAAAGACAACCGTATATCCCGCACCACGACTGAGATCAATGAGACGTGGCCAGACTATATATTCACATGAACAAACTTCTGCGTTGTACTCACCAATGCCCACGATCAAAACATCGGTTGGGATAACTTTTCCACTTTTAAGCACAACCTCTTTCACCTTAAAAGAAAACAAAATGAATAAAGAAAGGATTTGACGTGTTTTAAACTTCCAGCTGTTCGTTGAGTAGCCCTCTTTACCTTTCCATTCATTCCTCTGATCTCTGTCACACTATCGATCATGTGGAATCTCACATCTTTCTCCAACAGCATCTGCAGAATAAAACAGTTTCAACTCGAGTTAGTGAGCTGAAAGTGAAGAACTGAGCAGGAAACATGCAGGATAATTTTACCATCATGGTGATTTTTCCGACCTCCAGACCAAATGTGTTTTGGTACGGCACCTCGCTGCTCCCGATCACTGTGATAGTCGAGGCTTTGTCCAACAAATAGGATGCAATTTCCATTCCTGAAAGAAAGGTCGGTTAGGAGCTGTTCAAAAAATAAACAATCAGAACAGCTTAAAGCCATAAAAATTAATGAAACTGCTACAAAATTATTGTAAAAATCCTGATATTTAAAAAGATATTCAACAATAATAAGGATCCTTTAGCTAAAATCCTGTCTTTTATTACCCACTTCCAGCAGAGGGCGCTGTCTGTTTTGGATTAAATTTGAAGTTTTAATGTTCTGGTTGGGCAAAAAATTAAATAAATAAATAAACAAATAAATAAAAAGAAACAGACAGAACAAATGCAGCATTTTGTAAACTAAACATGCTGTCTCAGCATTATTCATGACCAATCAAAGTTCTTATTTGGTACTTTGTACTCAACAACAATGGAAAACAACGTGATTCTATTCATTCTATTTTTACATCTGAACTGAAGCCACTGTACCGACAAAAGAAGTTCCCAAAAGGACGACGTTGCAGCCCAGACAGGAAGCATGGATTTGTCTCGCATCTTCAGGCGTCTCCAGCATCTTGACGTTGTCCAGCTTCATGCCGGGCAAGTCCAGACCCTTTGCTCTGGAGGTAAATCCATAAATCTGCTTATTGTGTGCTGATGCTCGTATAGCCCAGACTTTTGACTTAACCACTGAGGACTTGCCCTTTGGATGAACAACTATTGCATGAATTGGTGAACTCAAGATGCTTCTCGAGGGTTCGTTTTTCAGTTGACAGGTAATCTAGTTAGATTTCTTTCACAGTCTATGTCTGCTTTTGTGATTGGTCAGAGATTGAATCAGACTGAACCAAATTAGGTGCAAATGGCATCACAGACACAAACTTGACCAATCTAAAGCACTACTTATTTAAAGG